GCTGAATGGGAACTGGTGCAGAGCTGCTTGGTGCCGTGGCAGCACTGACTCTGCAGGACTCTCTTTGGTTTGTGCATCCTCAACAGAATGCTTACTGCTTTCCAACTGCGGCGTCTAAGTTTTGGTGGCCGTGAAAAAAAGAAAGGAAAAAAATAATCAAGAAAACACTCCCCCATTCTGTGACTAAATTTGCAGCGGTGGCAATTATAAAAAGCCATCTGTTTACTAGCAGAGATGAACAATTTTCAGGTGAGACCACAAAGGAAGAACCAAACAAAGCCATTTTTAGATGAGCTCTGCAGAACGTAACTCTTCAAAACTTAAAACTCAGAAGGAAGAGTGTTGTTGCTTTGATTGGTGGTGATGGTGATTAGTATTCTCTGTACTTCCCAAGTGTGTGCTAGGGTTGTGGTAATGGAGATTGTATCTGTTTGCTTGTGTCTGCTTTTTCTTCATAGTGCGTAATTGAAATCCTCATGGGAGATTTTGTGCTGGTACCTCAGAATGTGGTTTTGAAGTCTGTTGGCATAGCTAATGGCTGTTAGACTGTGTTTTCAGATGCTGAATTTTCTAACTTTATGTTCCAGTAATAACCCAAGCCTTCTACCACTGCTACACTTGCAGAATTATTAAAAACAGATGTTGCAGATTTCCATTTGTATTAATCTGTTCCTGTAATTCCAAGAACCTAAGCACAGGGAATAACAGTGTTAACCTGGAGAGAAATAATTTTTTTAACATAAGCCTACCTTTTTTGCCATAAATGTAGGTTTTTAGTTACAAAATGGATGTGGTATAACTTAAAAATGCTTTTAAACAGCAGAATATTGTTTTGTCTGGAGCTGGTCGTAGTAGTTGAATACGAATGACCATGTTGTTGAATTAAATCTCATTACTGTTTTGATAATTTTTTATTTGAGTCTCAGAGCTTCCAGCAACTAAAACCAGAAGTTACTCCCTTCTCCACCACTCCTACTTTGCCAGTCCAGTGTACTGTTTCGTAAAGAGCAATGAAAATTGTGACTCATTATCCTGATGTTTTTCCCCCAAGTCCATCCTCAACAAAAAATTAAACATGATATGCCTGGAAATGCGAAAGTGTAAATATAAATGTTGCAGTGGCTCATGTCATATATTATAGGGAAATAAGGCTGGCTTTGTTTGCTTGCTGAAGAACAGCAATAGTTTAGGTTGAGCAAAGCCTCTGTTTGTCCCTGCTGGGGTTCTGCTTCTAAACCTGCATTAAATATTGCCTCATTATGAGTTGTTTTGTATAAATTATCCTGGGGGAAGGGAATGACTGTGCATGAAGATTGCTGTGCTCATTCCTTCTCTTTCTCTTTTTTAGGTTCATTTCTTTAACAGCTTTTTTCATAGACAGCTCGTAACCAAAGGATATAATGGGGTGAAACGATGGACTAAGAAGGTATCCTTTAACTTCCCTGTTGTCAGTGCTCTGGTTCTGGGCTGGGTTGAATCACTAACTCGAAACTGGGTCACAGTGTGTTACCTGCAAAGAATGGGTTTGCAAAGGAGCTATACAAAGTGGGGAGAGGTTAGTAAAAATAATAGGGTGGCACTCTTCAAGTTGGTGTGGTTATGTTGTGAAAATGTACTTTGAATGGCTTCGTCATTGGTGGCAGGTTATCTCTTTGTGTATCATCATGAAAGCTCCCAATTTAGCTGCAAGAAATGTCTCTTACTACTCGTGACAGTGCCATGTACACTAATCTACAGGAGAGCAGACTTCTACTTCTTCCTTTTATCTCAAACTGGGTTTGTTTGATAAAATCAAATTGTTACTCCTGAGTAACAGCTACAGGTACTAGTGAGCAGAAATTGGAGACCAATAGTTAATAAGCCAAACTGTTGTTCGCCTGACAAGAACAGAATTCAGCTTGCTTTCCAGAACTCATACCACACCATGGGTTGTGGTATTTTCTGAGGTAGCTAACACAAAGAGCAGCGCTCTCTTTTCTGTGAACATTTGTCCTTTCTAATATGGTGAGATGAGGCAAGACTAATCAAGGACCACGTTTGAATGTATGATCTTTCTGCAGAAGCGCTTAAATAGCACACATCTGTGAAATGCTAGAGATGAACTCATTATCCAAATATAAAATCTATTCATATAATTTATTAAAATCTCTTTAAAGAGAAACTGAATATTGGTGCTTAATATTCACAGGTTTTTTTTTTAAATGTTCTTTTTCTCCAGCAACCTATGTTTTTTGCAAAAACCCCAAAAGTGAAGGTAGATTCTGAGAGCAGAACCTGTGTTCATGTTGCTGCTGAGAAGGGACCAGATGAGAACAGGGTGGTTGTTTAGACATTTACACTTACATTCCTGAAGAACCTCTAAAGCAAGGAGGAGAACTAAGCAGTTTCTGTTGGGAGGATTCAGTAGACTGCTTCGTTCTGCAATTTGCAATTAAGGGGAACTTTTTTCTGCTTTTTAAACACAGCAGAGTACTGTACAGGTTTTATATATGTGCTGTCCTGAGATACAGGAGGTCCAAGCCTGGAAGGACATGGTCTTCTGCGTCCAGCTCCAGTGGTTTCAAAGCTCCTGTTCACGTCCGTCCCTTCTGGCCACCGGTCAGGTTGGCACTCCTGCTCTGATCCGCTCTCGTGTCAGCTAGCTGACTCTGCCCTGTCTCGGCGAAGCAAATCGAGATTGCTCCCATTCTTTCTGTACATCAGGTCTTAACTGTAGACTCTTCCAGCTTTTGGCTGCCTCTTTGCACCTTCTGCTACAGGTTTGCATGCCTGCAGCAAATCCACAGTGAGGGTCACACGAGGACCCTGGAGTTTAGCGTGGCTCTGCTGTTGCTGGACATCGCAGGAGGTGTTGTTCATTTGTCATATCCCAGTTTGCCTTTGTGGGCTCAGCTTGCTGCTGGCTGACATCTCTTTGCTTCTCCTCAAGAATGATGGATCGTTGTGTAGCCAGTGTGCTGTAATCTGGCCAGGAAGCGGTTTCTGCAGGTGGGAGCAGGGATCGTCGACGCTTGTGACAATCGAAGTACTGTTGTGAGCAAGGCTCGCCTGATAACTGCTGTGAATGCTCAGACCTTTTTGTGCCTTCAGCTTCCTGCTGTTACTCAAAAAATAAGCTTTTCTTTCCTACAAACGACCTGCCTTTACCAGTAGTGCAGCAATTATGTACTGTTCAAATTGCACAGTGCTTAGAAAAAAAAGCAGCATAGAAATCTTCCCACAGGATGAGTTCATTTAGTTCAGTATTCTATTTTTACTTATTTTCTGGACTGTACCACTAAAAACCCAGCAATTAGACAACCCTTTCAAGAGTAGCTGGAAGAAGGAAAATCATGAAAGGCGCTGGCTTGACTGGCTTCCAAAAGCATAAGGGCTCATCTGCCACACAGACACCGGGGGTGTTGTATCTGATCTACTTGTTCTGTACTTTAAGACCTTCTCCCTTGTTTGCTCGCCTGTGACCACAGTACATCTGCTACAAAGTTAAGTTCAAGAAAGGATAAATCTGCTCTGTCTTCACCCCCTCCCTTCCTCTGCTCACCAAAGCATCGTGTGCTCCTTCTCTGCCTTCCTCTGACGAGTCGCAGAGCCTGTGTACGGCAGAGGGACTCAAGCTGCACTAGCTTGCTGGTTCTGGGGGGTGTTTGTGATCCCAGCTGCTTCATCCCTCACCTGTCCACGGTGCAGCTCCGATAGAAATCGGAGGTGTTCATGCTGCAGGGGTGGCATTACTGAAGATACATAGCTAACCCAAATTGAGGCTCGACTGTATTAGCATCATTACTTAAGAAATCCTGCTTTGATGCAGGTGTTAAGGTGTAACATGAGCAGGCTTTTGCCACAAACACAGCGGTGAGTGAGTAACTCTGGTGCTGTACAATGCTCCTCTGCCACTTTCTGGGCTGGAACTCTTTGTGCCTGCTAGTAAGTTGTGTGTGAGAGAAACATGAGGAATGTGGTGGAAGAGGGGAGGGTGATAAGGAAGATTTCAGTTGTGGGTGGCGAGGAGGCTTAGGTACGATTAATCTCTTGCTTTGCAGTGTTGTGCCTGTGGAATTCTCTCTAATGTATGTTGTCCTTCTTGACAGGTGGACTTGTTCAAAAAGACTCTCTTGTTAATTCCTATTCACCTGGAAGTCCACTGGTCCCTCATTACTGTGAACATCCCCAGTCGAATTATTTCATTTTATGATTCCCAAGGCATTCATTTCAAGTTTTGTGTAGAGGTAAGATTGACTGCTGTGTCTGCAAAGTTTGAACCACACCCCCCATTTTTCTGTTCAGCCTTACACTTTAAATGCAGTCTGTCTGTTGTTGTCCTGCCGTGTATGAAATGGGAATCGGCTTGTCCTGCTGAGGAGTCTGAAGCACAGACCTCGAGTGTCACACCAGAGCTGGGAGCGGAGGTCAGATTGCCCATTGCCTAACCAGCCTGACCGTGTAATCAGCACACCTTCTGTGGCTCGGTCTTGTCACTCCCACAAAAAGCAGCAGCTCAAAGCCAGGGGCCATTGGGAAGCAGACTAGCCAGAAGGAGAGTAAAGGCAGTTCTTCACAGTGCTGAGGGACTTGTGTTCAGGGAATGATAAATTGTGCTCCTTTTGGGGGAGGTTGCCTGGGTGAAGCACTGAAGATGCTGTAGTGCTGCCCGGAGGGGTGTGACAGTGCTATTAACAGCGTGTTGCCTTTTTCCTGTCTGCGTTGATATGGGGTATATGCCTCTGGTTATAACCCCACAACCTTTCAAAGCTGCAACCTGAACGCTGGAGTTAAATTATCAGTCTTCCTGGTAAAGAGCAGCCAGAAAATTTTTGCTGGGACTAGCAAATTGTAATGACCCTCTTACAAAGGCTAATTTTGTCAACTTAATTGCTTGTTTGATGCAGCAGCCCTCTACTTTTAACTGTGTGTAGTTGTTGGCTTACACAAGAGTAGTAATTATTGTACCCAGGAGAGTTCCCAGCTAGGACTTCTGAATGAAGATACTAGTTTCCTTCTGGCATTTGCTGAGGATGAAGCTAATGTTTGTTCTGGGAGCAAGAGACTTCATGCTCTCTAGCTTCTGAGCTTGCAGCGTAAACCAGGGGTTCCTCTCCCGTCCTGCTCCAGGCAAGGCATTTGCACTTAAATGTCTCACAAACATGAGCCACTTTATTCCTGCCCTTTGTAGGGGAAGGGAGACCAATACCCAAAACTCCACTGTGATCTACCCGCTAAGGTGAATGTTAGCCTGCTGGAGTGTGTTTAAGTTGTGCTATAACCCACCAGCTTGTTTACAGAGAAGTAGAAGGATTTGCGTAACCCAAGACCATAGGCTCATTTATCTTGCTTCCTTGTCTTCGCTTGTGTCAGATTATTTTTTCCTGAATGTCACTAAAACTCTCCCTGGAGCTTTGTTGATTAGCTGCAGAACTCAAAGTGTTTTGTATTGAGATTCAGGCAGGAAAATGCTCTTATATTGAATGGAGGGGCCTCGGTGTCAGCCAAGGAAGCCAGGAGAGAACACGTGCCAGGCTGCACAGTGTGTCTCCGCGTGTCTGGGAGCACTCTGACTGTGCCCCAGTGCCACAGCTAGTCTGGTGCTGGGTGTACCAGTGTGCAGTGGGGCTGAGGGGTGGTAAAGCTCCCTTTGGTGGACCGAAATGAGCCTTCATGGTAGAAGGCACAGTACCCACCAGAGTTCATCTCTTTACCTCTAGATCTGAGCTCAGCTCCTAATGCTTAATGCTCACCTGAAATTTGTCCTCGCTGTCAATGTCTCGCTCCTGTTCTTCAGCTGGTGAATAATATCGTTGCTTTTTTTTTTTTCCCCTTTCATTTTTAAAGAACATTCGAAAGTATTTGCTGACTGAAGCAAAAGAGAAGAATCACCCCGAGTTTCTTCAGGGTTGGCAGACTGCTGTGACAAAGGTAAATGGCAGCACTTCAGGCTCTGGAGCCTGACTTTCTGGGAGATTTTAGGAGCCTGCTTCTAAACCCATATATTTGCACAAGTCGTAAATTGTTTTATGCTGACCACTTGAAGGGTGGTAGGAGCAACACAGGTGGTTACACATGGGAATTAGAGCTCTGTCGCTCATTCAGCTCTCACCAGGTCTTTAATATTTTCTGCAAGTGACTTGGTGACCTGAGCCTAATCTCCAGACAATTAAATATCTGTGCAGCGAAACCTGTAGCTGGTGCCCGTGTTGGCATAAGGTCAAGGAGGCTCAGCTTCCTGACTTCTCCCAAGAGGACTGTTCTGAGCTATGCCAAATGGATGTGGTTTGGTGAGGGAGGGAACAGGCCAGTGCTGCTACTGCCCGTATTTTGTATTTGCTATGGGCAGAGGGCTTTGGTCTCCAGTGCTGTTTGTGGCACATTGCATTTGATCACAAGTAAATGAAGACTGGCAACAATAAAAGGGAATAACTTGTGTGTAGTGTAATGAGGGAATATGTGATTTACATAGCCATCCCATAATGGCTCCAAAGATATAAAACAGGTCATTGCACACTAGACATTCTCCCGACATATCCCTCCTCGCACAGGTTTATTTTTAGATGCTGATACAATGATGAAATTATTCCTCTCTGCACTCGTGCACACCCTGTGCAGTCAGAGCTTTTCCTCCTGCCTTCTGTGAGGCAGAAGATCTGGGAGTTGAGGAAAAATAATTACTTTTCCTCTTCGAGTGCCAGAGACCTCATAGCAGCGTGAGTGAGTGTGACTTTTTAGCTCTGCATATCAAAATGGCACATGTTTGAATAAATAATGAAGGTTGAAAGTTATCACTTGAGACTGCCTTGCTCAGTCCTGTTGCCTTATGATGCTCTTCATGCTCTTCGAGACCCTTTGGTGTGGTGGGGGAGGAAAACCGCTGTTGGTGGCATGGATGCTGAGAGTAATCTTCCTCTAGGCCTGTGTAACTTTGGTGATACAGTGTGTTCCTGTGTAAAGCAGATAATGCTGTACAAACATTTATTTAAACTAATTGAGAAGCTGTTCTGTGTAGGTCACTAAAAGAAAATACACTCGAAAGAAAGATTTGTAATTTGTTTTCCATCCTACACTATATATTTTTCTAAATGTTGGATGTTATTCTAACAAGGTGTTGAGTGTTACCTTGCAAAATCTGGGATCAGAATAAGTAATTACAACAGTTTCTAGTGCTGCAGAACAGCTAGCTGAGAACGAGATACCCCATCGTTATACGGAATCTCCTTTTGGACTTCAAGCAGGAGTTGGCAAATAAAAGGATAAATAAAGATCTAACATGTCTCTTCTTGTTTCCTTTCCTTTTAGTGCATTCCACAACAGAAAAATGACAGTGACTGTGGGGTTTTTGTGCTCCAGGTAAGAGTACTGCTTTTGAAAAATCAGTGGCCTGTATTGTTCATACAGTAAATGTCCTTTTTTTCAATCAAGCCTTTTCCTTTTCCTCAGTACTGCAAGTGCCTCGCCTTAGACCAGCCTTTTCAGTTCTCCCAGGAAGATATGCCCCGAGTGAGAAAAAGGATTTACAAGGAGCTGTGTGAATGCCAGCTAATAGACTAATAAAATGCAGCCAACCTAATTTCTCTGGCATTTCTGACAAGTTGCAGCTGGTGTTTGTGTACTTGAATTTCTGAAAACTTCCGTGAATTTTGAGCGATTCTCAGCTGAGTGGTGTGGCCACTGTTGTTACCTCAATTTTTTGACAAGCTCTTTAACTGGCAGAACATAGCAGAGCTGCCATAAAATATTCCTTATGTCAGTTTGGTTCTTTTATGTTCTTTCCTGTATTTAATATTTATTATCTCAGCATGCATATAGGCAAAGCATGCAACTAAAACCATAAAACTGTAGATTTGGTGCACCTTTGAGATGTAGCTAGAAATGACAAATACAGGTGATTTTGTCTGGAAACATGAAGATGCATGGTATGTTTTCTGATGCAATAATGCTTTGAATGTATCAAAAAAAAATCAATGCCATAAAAAGAACAGTTAGAACCTATTTGATAGTTCCATTGTCCCTGTTGTGGGTGTATAATACTGAATTACCAATTTTTAGGGTGGCTAACCTCATTTACAGATTTAATTTGAGACCCCTTTTTAAATAGTTCAAGTTGCTAATAAAGTTTGTTCTGTTAAGATTTATCCAACTGCCATTGTCAGCCTGTCCCTATAGATAAAAGCAGCCTTTGCACAAATAAAGCTTCAGCACTTGTCTGTATAATAAAGAGTACAAAGGTGTTCAGTCAGTCAGATTGATGGGATGTTCCTATATGCTGCAGAAGTCTCCATGATGTGTGTATTAAGGAGAATTATAAAGCTGGCCCTGAAGAGCCACAGCTTAGATACTAAGGTAAACTCCTTGGCTGTAACTGTTTAAATCTCAGATGGCTTTGACTCATTTTTCAATTCCACAATATGCAGTGAAATGTACCTTTTTGGCATCTCTCCCTTCGGCTCTGTCTTCAAATGAACTCAAGCTTGTTGTGTTTAACCTCCCGTTGGCTTTTGCCTTTGTTCAAATATAAATTAATTCATTTCTGCTGCATTTGCTGTTTGATTGTCTCGAACATCCTAGATTTGTTTGCGGTCGGTAGCACCGATGGGTCTGGTTGGGAATAGGAGCCCTTGTGTTGGGTGCTGCACAAACACAACAGGGTCGTGTCATTCTGCTCCGGAGGGATGGGAGCCTGCGCTGGACTTCGCTGTGGTGCTGCACTGGGCAGGGAGAAATGAGAGCAGCGGATCTCGAGACTGTTGGGTTTTTTTGCCTTAATCTGCAAACTATGATGGGCTCCTTGCTGAAGAGCGCTGCTTTTGTTTGAAGAGTCTGTTGTATGGGACTGCTACACCAACAAATGTCTTTGCTGTGGTTTTCTGGCAGATAAAGGAGTGAGCCCAGAGGAAAACTATTTTCAATCCTAAACATCATCTGCTGCACAGCTTCACTTTGTGTCTGTGCGTAGCCCTGACTTCTGATGGAGGAAAACCACTCTGACTTCCCTGTCTTGCAAATTAATTCAGGCTTGAGCTAAACCAGGTGCAAATCCCTCCTAGATTAGGGGAGGGAGAAGGGAGGGAGGGGGGGTGCCAAGCGCAGTCAGGCTGGAGATGGGAGCGTGTGCGTGCCGTGGTGTTCTAGAGAAGGAGGTCCTGCACTACCCGTGTGTGTTCCCACTTCCCCTTGTTGGCAGCTGGCAAGGGCTGGCTTAATTTAGCAAGATAAGGAAGGCCTTAAGCACTTGGTTAGATAACTTAAACAAGGAATTTACTGGACCAGAAAGAACCTTCAGACCTAGACTGGCTAAATGGACGCTTGCCTCTCGTATGGTGCAGAGGACCCCATGGCACATGGTTTCCTTGTGTTTCCCTGAAGTGTTCCTGATCCAAACAGCAGCACCTTCGTGGGGCAAGTGACTGTGAGCCATGGAGAGTGACTTCCCTGAAAACTGAAACTTGGCACGTGGTTTTTCATGTGCTAGGGCAGAATGTGTAAGCCAGTGCTGCCGTTCTTGTTCCCTCTCGGCACTGCTGTCACATGGATGGTCCCAGTGCTTACGCTGCCGTGCGGTGGGACCGGCCAAACTGATCCAGGTTAAAACTAGCACAGCGAAAAGGCTGCTCTTAACCCAGAGGAGTTCTCACCTCGGTGGGGCTTGTCACTGAGCGTGTATAGCAGCGTGAACCAAGAGGGAGAATTGGGTGGCCAGGAGGAGAGGTGAAAGCAGCGCCAGCTTCGGATGGGTGGCAGTGAAGCCGTGTCCTCCAGCGAGACTCCCTGCAGAAGGCAGTGAGATACGAAAGGGAACTGCGTGAGCAAGTTGCCTTTATTTTCAGAGCTTTAGCTATCTGGTAAGGAACCCTGAAAGGTGTGCTGTGACAGTGTACCAGCCTGGGAGACTCGGTGCCTTCAAGGAAGCCCCTTATTTTGATGTGGAAGTTGCCTCGTTGCTGGGTGTTTTTCGTTGCACGGGAACGTGCTGGAGCACTGGAGCACAGGTAGTCCTTGGTGCCTGCTGCTGGTTGGTAGGAATCCACCTTCCTCAGTGCGAGAGGTTGGGAGGAGTCTTTAATTGTGATCCCTCTATCAGCGGCATCAGCAAAAGGACGGTGTCTGTGACCGGTGCGTTTAATGGGAACGTGGGTGCTTTGAAGCAAGTGCATGTGTGTTCCAGATCATCGGAGGGGAGGGGGGCTCGCGTTTGAATCTGCTGCCGTGTGAACTGGGGAACAGGGTGGGGAAAGATGCGTGTTGGGAAGTACTTCTGATGTGATTTCTTGTCATCTAGAGGTTTGCTGACAAGTGTTCCCGTTGGTTATGGGGCAGTACGGAGGAGTTGCACTTGGGTCTCCAGCTGTGAACACACCAGTAAGAGGCCTCTGGAAGAAAAAAAAAAAAAAGAAAAAAAAAAAGAAGGGGAAATTGAAAACAGAGCTAATGTAAGCAAAGTATGTTGGTGCAGGGTTGAGATTAATCACAGGCAGTCAGAATCTCAGACTCTGTAATGGTGTATCCTGTGGAACTGGACTAATTAACTCCTCCTTGAGAATGTCTTTGATGCCTTATAGGAGATGGACTCCATAATCTGTAGTCATTTTACCAGTTCTTAAAACATTCAGTGCACTATGTAGAGTGTTTTTATTATGAGAGGCACATTTATGTGGATGTAGTTATGGCTGTTAGCAATTCCATTAATGTGATCTTCAGAATTTCATAAATCACTCTGAACTGGTTTGGCTGATGCTTAAATTTCACGACTTGTTCCGAAGAGATTGTCTTGCTGTGCTGATTTATACAAATCGTCCCAGAACGGGTGAAACCTCCATCTCGTGTGTGACAAATTTAAGCTACCCGAGTTGTAATAAACCCTAAACACAATTGGAAATAAATTATTAGTTTCCATTTTGTTTGCTTTAATCTATAGTTTCAAATGACTATGCAGCTGATATAAATCAGAAAAATGCAAAATGTAGCTTTGATTCTGCAAGGTAAGTAGAGAAATGCCTATTGCTGAGCTGTCGGATACTTTTGCAGAATGGAAGCTGGACCTTTGTGCCATCTAATGTGCTGCTGTTCTGTTCTTACCTGGCCCTCTGGAGTGTGAAGGTGATATTTTTTACGTTTCACTTGCACTGATTACCGAGCCAGACAGGCTTGCAAAGGCTTGCTGGCTTGTGTTGAATCTCTAGCATAATGCTTACCCTGGATTTGCTTTCTGGAAGTTTTGATTGGCATTGTCTACTCTAGCATTTATTCAAGTCGATGTGAAAATTTAAACCTTGGGAAATGACACAGACTTAACTCCACTGAGCAACAGCTGTGTTTTGTGGCTGTGTCCTTGCATCGAATGAAGCCCACGTTCCTGCAAAGTAATAAAATTGAGTTTTACCATAAAAACCCTATTTTCTTTCAGCAGTTTGGTTTAATTTTAATTTTAAAAGCAGCTGATGTGATGGTTGAGGGAGTGTTTGTAGCAGCTTGTTTTGGGATCTGTGTTGTTAGGAGAAGCCTCTCCAGCCGGTTAGTTCGGTAACTCTGAGCTGTACGCTAACGATGCTCTGTTCCGTAGCACCGCGGTGATAGAGCTGACTGTGGTTTGAGCTGTGACAACATACAAGATTGGAGATGTCACATATTGCATAAATAAGGGTGGAAATCTTGCATTAGACACTTTCTACTAAAGTGACATTTAAAAACCACAGATCTGTCAACAGAACAGGTAGGACTCAAATTGCTTTTCTAGATCAAACTAAATTAATGCCCTTCTTGTACTGCGTGTTGATTTAGCTGTGTAACTATAGAGTTAAATCTTGTCTTTGCTGGATTTTACAAAGCTATACAGCTTGTGAATTTGTGATAATGAGGGGAATGAAGGCTTAGTGAACGTCTCTTTAAGCTATTAATCATGAGACTGGCAACATCATTGTCTTTATTACATTCATAATTTAAAAATCCTATCATGGAGGAGGAAACATGGATGCTTGTTAAATATATTCTTCAGTGGAAAGTACTAAGAAATCAGATCGTTAAAGTACAGAATCATAAGAGACACTAGAAGCCTTGCCAGGAACAATAATTACTATTTATATGTAATAGGTGTTGGGAGGGAAAGAGATGAGTCTGGTTTGCTTGTGCCGAACTTAATGGATTTTATGAGTAACCAGCTAGAAGGATTTGGGGATTTAATTTCATTTTCAGAGCATGTAATATTACAAACTATAGAGCTAAAAACTGTTGCAAACCGAGTGAAATATCTTGAGAAATCAACTGGCTTGTTGTCTCTCAAGTAAGCAGAACATGTGTGAAGCAGCTCCTGCTCCTGCCTGAAATTCTGATGAGTTCTCATTCTTAATTCTGGTGTTTGATTTCAGCTTTGCTGGTAACTTGTCTCCCCTAATGCAGCACTTTCTTGAGGTTGCAGACCTTTGGGGCTCTTTATGGGCAGCTTTGGGAAGTGGCTAAGAGGAGAAGGGATCAAAAATCCATTGGGGAATCTGTTTGTGCTGCCTTGTGATAAATGTGTTGTGGGAGGAAGGGCAGGGGAGAAACAGAGCTTTAAGGAAGATGTATTTAACTCGATAATGCGGGTCAGGTCGTGTTTATGGTACGTGAACTTGATCCAGCCAAGGAGCCATCTTGTTTATGGAAACCTTTGGGATGAGTGGGAGAGGAACGCAAAAATCCATTGGGGAATCTGTTTGTGCTGCCTTGTGATAAATGTGTTGTGGGAGGAAGGGCAGGGGAGAAACAGAGCTTTAAGGAAGATGTATTTAACTCGATAATGCGGGTCAGGTCGTGTTTATGGTACGTGAACTTGATCCAGCCAAGGAGCCATCTTGTTTATGGAAACCTTTGGGATGAGTGTGAGAGGAACGCGGGGAAGAGCTGCCTTCTGCAGGGACGACGGCTCTGCTGCGCGCAGGGACGCTGGGTCTCGCGTCGAGCCTGTGCGTTTTAGATCAACTTAATGCAGGCAGCAACTGCAGCAAGGGAAGAAACTCCTTCCGCAGCATTCAGCTGAACATCACGTTTGTTTAGGACAGTCGTGGCTTGACAATTTATCCTCAACATCTCTGACAGCTCCAGCCTATTGAAAAGCAGACAAGCGTGCTTCTGCTCCTCTGCACGCAGCAGGGCTGCCCGAAGGCTCTTGCAGATTAAGTCGATTCCAGCTCACCTTTCAGTGCCTGGCTTCCTTGGGGTTTCAGGGTTGAGGTTTGAGGGTTGAGGGGTTTTTTTGTTTTTAAAGAAGTCTGAGGTACAGAGAAGTTTTAAGGTGTATCTTCAATAAGTATATTCCTTTCTCGTTCAGGAAACTTGTCTTTGGAGATCTGCTCTCAGTTTTGCATACTGGAGTGCTCCTGTCTCTCATGCAATTAGTCCGAGGCAGCAATCTTTAAATGCTGCTATTAATGGGCAGAAAGAGACGTCAGGGCTTAAATTTTGGCAGACTTCTGTGTTTTGTCCTCTGATGGATCACGCTTCAGATGAATGTGGCTTTTCCTTTAGAATATAAATATAGCTAAAAGATGCTGAAGAACTTCTGT